AAGAGTCATTTATCATGATCAAGATGAAAAAGAATCAGCATATGCTCATTTTCGTTTCTTTTTCTTTTTTTCTAAAATGTCAATTGTTAGTTTCATTAACAAGGGCCACCGTTCCCATTTCCAAATATAAATAATTTTGGTCTCTTACATAATGACGTATCAAAATTTTAGTAATACTAGTTTTATGCCCGTGCAATGTACGGGCTGTGTTTTTTTCAGGTAAAGTTAGCGTGTCTAATTACACTATAATAAGTGGAAGAATCAGCAGAGTAAGAATTCCACAACTTGTAATCGCAAAAGTTAACCGACCGTTTACCCCTTTCGCCTCAATGAATATGAAAGGCAAAACCTTTCACTACTATTTACTTTGGAAAATGTATGTTCTATGACCTTCACTCAATGAATCACTAAGGAAATCCCTTGTTTCACTTACGGAGTCAGTCTTTTCCCTATTTCATATCATCAATCCAAAAATAAATAATTATTTCACAATTAATAAATAAATACATCAAAACAAATAAAAACAGAACTTTACCAACACTAATTCAATTGGAAGAAATCCAACTATATACAACTAAAATTTTCAATTTTTACCAACTCAAATTGAATCAAATACTAATTGCTGGTAATGTAAAATCCTGAATCGTTTAACTACAAAAAAAATAATAATCAACATATAACGACTTACTATTCCTCAAGATTGAACTCCAAGACTCTATAAGAATCGAAAAATGTGACATGGTTAGATTACCTTACGCAGTTTATAGAAGAATTGCTGGTGAAAATTTGAACATCAGACAGATAAGGAACAAAATACTGCACTAAATTTTGGCCATCATCAAGAGTAATTGGAACTCCAGCCCTATAAGCACCACATTCATCGTAACAATTCCAGAGATCACCCAATGTAAAATAGTTCAAGTTTTCTCTTTCCCATGGATGCCATAAACTATTCAGATTCATCATATCATCCCGTTCACAAAATTATCAAAAAACAAAAGGGC